CCAAAACCATTAAGGCTGATTTATAGTGACTAAAAGCAAGGCATCATAAATGCCACCTGCTGCTTTAATATGTGCAATCACATTTTAAGCTGCTGGATGGCAATCCCCAGAAATATACTTTAACGGTACAGCTCCAGAATGAAGTACAGTGCTTAAAAAAAAAAAGTGCGTGACCTCCATCTGCTGCACACATGGACAGGTCATATTTGCTGAACTCTTTCTGGCTCACACAGCTTCTGTAAAAATGACCACTCTGCTCGACTGCATCTGTTGCCCACACAGCCTCAGTGTGATCTCTTTGTTCATTTCCTCTCTGAGCTGAGTGAGGGTTATAGACGATGACGCTCGTGGCGTCTCAGGTGTATTCTGACAAAAACCTCAGGCCCATCTGCTGCGGCCCGGTCTAAATATATTGATTTTTTAAATACAAAATAAACTGAAGAATTATACAGGATAACCTCCAGAAGGCAACTGTACGTCATCAGCGGAGAAAGTTCTGACAAATTAGAACAGCATGCCTGTGGAACTCTATTTGTCCACATCGATGGCTGCAATGTCAAAGAGCCGCGGAACAGATCTCAACACAAAGTCTGCCAGTGTGAACTCGCCTCAGCTGTGAATGCTTCACGGGGTGAGGTGTGAATTTGTGTCGATTGCGAAAAGCAAAAGGACAAGTGGTGAACTTTCTGTTGGCGCGCGGCGTGGAGGCATTAGTAGTGTCTGCCACGACGGTCACAAACGATAAGAGCACACAATTCAGAGTCGACAGAAAAAAGGTGTTGTACGCATTTTTACTTAGCCCAGAGAGAGACAGGAAGGCAAAGGCCAGGCATGAGTTCAACGGGTCAAGAAAATATGTGTTCAGAGGAGGTATGAGTCCCAGAATGTTTTTCTCCTGCTTCTTGGCTGAACAGTTTGTTATTTCCCTGAGAATACTAACGGATACTCAGACCATTTCTTTATCATTACTCTACCTGATAAATAAACACACATCGGTCTGCATATGAAAATAACACAGTATTCATATATTTGCAAAATTACACAAATGCAGCTGTATGAATCACCGAGAGAAATGTCAAGTTATATATGGCATATATTTTAATCTTGTTATTGTAACTGGTTGCGTTTATTTGTTTTTGCAAAAATGAGAATGGAATTTAAAAAAAGACCATTTTGGTTAAAGAAATGTTTTATATATGAATATATAAGCAGATATATAAATACATATATGTATAATAATGTATTAATTAAATTAAAAAATGTATTAATATATACACATATGTGTATATACAGTAAACCCTTGTTTTTCGCGGGGGTTACGTTCCAAAAAGAACCCGTGATAGGCAAAATCCGTGAAGTAGAAATCTTTATTTTTTTTACAATTAAATACTCAGAAAAAGAAGAGAAAGAACGAACAAACCATTTTACAGTCTCAACCATTTGTTTCACAAACGAACGGAAGATTCATTAATTCCATAATGCCGACCTACAGCCGCATAGCTTTTACCTTCATTTAGCATGTCCAATAGTTTTACTTTATCACCGATAGACAGCATCTTCCGCTGCCTTTTGGTCCCTACCGCAGGTACTTTTGCCGGTCCAGAGCGTTTTGTCGACATTATGGGGTTTGATAAACTCGAAATTGCAAGAGAATTTGCACGTACGTAATGTCAATTTGGCAAGCTGTTTTACGTACGTGTACATATTAAACCGCAACGTTATTGGCGCACAGGTAGAGAAGAAGCGGAGTGACTTTTTAGCCAATCAGAATGCAGAACACAATGCACGATGCAAATCCGTGAAGTAGCGAAACCGTGAAAAGTAAACCGCGTTATAGCAAGGGATCACTGTATACAGTACTGTGCAAAAGTTTTCTCCTTTTTTTAATATAGATTTGCATGCAAATGTATGCCTCTTTACATCCATCCATCTAGCTATCTATTTCTATATGTAAAACCTATATACAACCTTAATAACCTTTGTTAAAAACAAACAACACAAAAACAACAAATATGATAATATGATATAATATATTTAAATATCAGATCAACTGCTGGAATCAGGAATAACTATTCCTTAATCTTTTTTCTCCTCAGATCCCACTCCCATCTGTCACTTCCTGAACACCTACAAAGACAACTGCAGAGACTGGAGTCTACAGCTGCCGTCACTGCTTCATCAATGTACCATTTCCAGCCCCAAAGGACCTGAAGGCACCGCCGTGTGTGCTGCATCAGAGAGGACTCCGTATATTATCTACAGTACCGTCCTACAGGTGGAACTAATCAAAGATGACACTTGAGCAGTTACACGAGGAATGAGATTTTCAGACACTGCAATTATTCCCGTCTTATGAAGGAAGTTCGGTCGCTGATTTGCATGTGAAGAGGCTGTGAAGACGTGGGGCGAAGTTTTCTCCGTCTTAGTCACTTGGGCCGCAGCAAAAACCGACAAATTACATCTGGAGGAGCCTCCTTTTGCGCAAGGAGGCATTTACGCACAGGATAGTGTTTCATATTCTGTCAATTAACTTAAAGAAGATCCTAGCCTAGAACAGGTGTTCCCAAAGTGGGGGGCGTGGGCCCTAGAGGGGGCTTAGTGCCA